AATCCTATATTAATTCTTGATCAATACTAATTAAATAATCTTATTATTCTTATTATTAATATACTAGAACTTATAATATATTAATAACCATAAGTGTCTTATTTCTCTCGTTATAGTCTATCCAAGTGCATGATGGTATGCAACCCAAATGGACCATGCCGGGTCGGGTCAAGTCTTACCAATTATAGTTATGGACTTAGACATTAATCCAAAAAATGTAACAAAGTCTGATCTTCTGCGTATTGATCCTTTTAATGAAGATATAGAGGCTCAAGACTCATCTATGCCACATGATCCCTCAGCACATGACACACCCACTTCTTCAGAGGGTGCCTCGACTCTACCTGTTCCTGAGCCTGATCCTACGATTATTGAAGTTGAGGATCCTCTTCCACCATCACCCCTCAGGAGATCTTCTCGTCCTGTCAAGTCCACCAAGCTACCAGATTTTTCTTACTCTACATATTCAGGACCGTTTGCTTCATTTATAGCAAGAATCCATCATCTGTCTGAACCTGAATCATATAGAGAAGCTATTTTAGATCCTCTTTGGCAGAATGCTATGGCTGAAGAACTCACTACTCTTCATCAGACTCATATATGGGATTTGGTTTCTCTTCCTCCTGGGAAACATATGATAGGTTGTCGTTGGGTGTACAAGATAAAAACAAAAGTTGATGGCTCTATTGAACGATATAAGGTTAGACTTGTAGCAAAAGGGTATTCCCAACAGTATGGTTTTGACTACGAGGACACATTTTCCCCAGTTGCAAAGATGACGACAGTTCGTACTATGATTGCATTTGCATCCGTTCGACAGTGGAAGATCTTTCAAATGGATGTCAAGAATGCCTTTTTGAATGGTGACCTTCATGAAGAGGTTTATATGACCCGTCCTCCAGGAATTCAACACCGACCGGGAGAGGTTTTTCGACTTCGCAAAGCTTTGTATGGGCTCAAGAAAGCCCCTCGTGCTTGGTTTGAGAAATTCTCCATAGTGATTACCTCTCTTGGATTTGTCTAGAATAATCATGATTCTGCTCTATTTGTTAGATGCTCGAGTGCAGGACGGATTCTTCTGTCCTTATATGTGGATGACATGATTATTACAGGTGATGACCATGGTGGTATTGACTCTTTGAAGCATGATCTAGCTCGTTGATTTGCTATGAAGGATTTGGGTTTTCTGCGTTTGATCCGAATCTTTATCGTACTGTGGTAGGAAGTTTGGTTTATGTCACAGTCACTCGTCCAGATATTGCTCATGTTGTTCATATTATCAGTCAGTTTGTTACTGCACCTACCTCTGTTCATTGGGGAGTTGTTCTTCGTATTCTGAGATATCTTCATGGCACTAGGTTTCAGACTCTCTTGTTTCCCTCGACGTCTTTTTTTGAGTTACGTGCCTATAGTGATGCTGATTAGGATGGTGAACGTCATGATCGTAAATCTACCGCTGAATTTTGTGTATTTCTTGGAGAGTGTCTTATTTCATGGAAGAGCAAGAAACATGATGTTGTCTCTAGATCTTCCACAGAGGCTGAATATCGTGCTATGGCTATAAATACATGCAAGATTATCTGGTTACGGTGGCTACTTGTGAATATGGGAGTTTACATTTCTTCACCTACTCCCTTGAATTGTGATAATAAAAGTGCGATACAAATTGCGAAGAATTCTATTTTTCATGAGCGGACGAAGCACATTGAGATTGATTGTCATTTTACTCGTCATCATCTGCAGCTTGGGACCATTTCGCTTCCATTTATTTCATCAACTTTGCAGCTTACGAATATTTTTATGAAGGCTTTATCGGCTTCTCGGTTTCGGTTCTTATGTGACAAACTCTCAATGCTTATTGTTGTAGCATTGTGAGTTTGAGGGGGGATGTTAGTCTATATTATTAGCCCACTTGTTTATGGGCTCTTTTTTGTCTTTAGCCCATTAGGGTTTCTGTCTAGCTAGTATTTATATTCGCTTTATTCCTTGTAGTCTTAATGCTTTTCTCTGAGAACCCTTGTAATTTCTCTTTGATATAATCATATGACAATGTTATCATCCTAGTCCACCATATATGGACGGAAAACTCTTGAGGATAAGCCCTCCTAATGAATCCAATTTTTTCTATTTTGACGATCAATATTGAGTTTCTCCAAATTTGTTGGATTTTTTTTACGACTATTTTGATATAACCATAAATCAACTTAAATATGATATTTCCATCGATCATATGATTGATTAACTTTTTACTTTGATTCATATGTTGTTACTTGTAATTTTTCTATATTTGATAATGTATAGAAACTTCTAACAACACCATAGAATAAGTCTAATGTATAATGTTAAAGATATCTTGGATTAACAAAAATAAGTTCTTCATTGTTATTCTTAAACAATGTGTCGCTTTTTTTATGTCATTATGTCAACCATATTGACCTCTTCTATTATCGACACCAATAACACCATTTCTCATTTCTAGCAAGCAAAGTATTCTAAATCAAAAAACAGTTCTAGATATCATGCGATAGATTTTTCAGAATAAACCATCACCACTAAACAAAATTGTCTCCTCCAAACCCGAACTTCAAATCAATAGAACCGATCAACATCAAAGTACTTTTCAAACATGTCGGTCCTTCGATTGTGATTTGTTTGATAATGTTGGTTCAACTAAGGCGTTTTGAGTTGGCAGATTGTATATATTACAATTTTACAAGGATTAATTCCTTTGATTGTATTATTGATAACAATCATGTAGATATATAGATACAAGATACAACATCTAGCCCTACAACAAAGGAATTGGAAATGGCTTCCGAACTACGAATGATACTTTAAAACCGGAAATGGTTTTTGATATTGAAAATGACTTCTTAACTGTGAGCGGTACTATTCACTTCCAATGAGCTGCGAAGATTAGGTGTGAGTTCTAGTTCCGATGAGCTGCGAAGATCGGAGTTTTATAGGGGCAAACCAGTCTTTTACTCTAAGTATGGACTAGTCTTGTCGTGATCTTAGTAATGTGTGTGGGAAATTCCTTAATTATTAATCAAGGTTAACTGGTGTATTTAATGAGGTAGAGTCTAGTTCCAACAATTCGAGTGTAAGTTCTATTAGTCATTAGTACGAGGTAAGTCTCCTCGTTATTCTTACAGGTGTGGTAACTGTGTTTATATATATGTCATGACCAGTTGGCTCTATATGTATTTACTGTGATATGTGTTATTGTGTGTGCCGAGACTTCGGGTAGTCTCCAGGGTTGCTGATAACCCACTAGGCGTGTTGCTTGTCCTTTAAGACTTTGGATAGCCTCTAGGGTTGATGATAACCCATAGTTGCTTATTTTGTGCTATGTTGTATGTGTTATTTTGGGGAAATATTTAATCTTTGTGCTTACAGCTATTGATTAAATGTGTATTAGTTACTTCTAAGAATCGTGGGAAAGTGAAGACTTTATTGTACACATTCGCCTGAAGATTTTGTTACTGGATATTTTGAGACACTCTAATATTTGGACGTTGATTTGTATTTGACATTTTGGTTTTCTTGAGATGGTTTGATGAAAAATATTTTTATATGGAATTAAAAATGAAAATTTTAGTTTGAAAATATGGGTATTACGTGAGGACTTTCTCTTAAATGTCTTCATTCCGGATTGTCTTAAAATTCATGAATTCTTCTTCTTCTTCTTTTTTTTTTTTTTGCAATTTTTTTCAAAGAAATATTTATCTATATTTTTGGTGTCTGTTTCGAAGTATATAATATTTCTATTTTTCAATCAAATGTTTGATTTTAAGTCATAGTATCGTATGTATTTTATATTTAATATTTTTGTTTAACTTGTTTTTTAGATTTTAGTAAAAAATATTTTTTTTCTTGAAATTCTAGAATTGTTAATCGGATTTTAGATTTGTTGAAATTTCAGAGTTTTTTTTTTTTTTTTTTTTTTTTTTTCTAAACTCCGAGATTTCAGTCTGAAATCCAAAATGTTAGTCTGGAATATCAATCTGAAACCATGGTTGTCAAAATCGCGATCCTGATCGTAGGATCGTACGATCCTACGATCCTAGGTATGAAAAACGATTCGGATCGTAAAAGGATCGTGTTTGGGGTAGGATCGCAGGTAGGATTGTAAGATCGTAGGTAGGATCGAGATCTGATCCGATCCTACCTTCCCTTGATTTTTTTTCAAATGAATTTATTTTACCACTTTATGTCTTTTACCCTTTACCAATTTACCATTTATCATTTTGTATTGTACCTTATGACTAATATTTTGATGTTTTTATAACTTTTGAACGAAAAATTGAATGTTTGAAATATTTTTTATGATTAAAAATTATAAATTAAAATTATATTTTATTTTGTGGGATCTTAGGATCCCGATCTCGATCTTGCAAACCCAAAAACGATCCTACATAGGATCCCGATCTTGACAACATTGTCTAAAACGTACCTTTTTTGTTAAAAAAAAATATTTTATTCCCCGATCCGGAATCCTCCATTCCGGACTTGATGATTATTTTTTTCCAAAAACAAACAAGTAAAAATTTTATAAAAAAAATAGTTATTTTCTTGAAATACACCTTATATTATGGTTAGATTATTCATTTTCTTAATTCATTTCAACATACGATATTTCTAAGTTAAGATCACTTAATGATATATATTCATAGTTTAAAAATCAAAAACTTTATACATTTACTGGATACTACATGTTAATGGTTTTGAAAACTAAAATAATTTATAATTTGAGTTTGCAAATAACCCAAGTATCTAAAACATGGAAAATATAACGACCCGAATCCATACCTAAAAAACCCGAATTCCGAACTACGGGTCGGATCTTTTGGAATCACCGTATATTACCCATTTGTAACTGTATAAACCGTGAACCCAGTTGCCAACCAAACGACACTTCACTCTGCAGTCGCAAAATACCTTTACTCCGTCACCAAATTCTGTGTTCGTTTCCGAATTCCGATCAATTTCTGATCTCAATGGCTCCATCCATCAAACGAGGAAAGATCAAAACTCAAGTGTACAACGAGGTTTCCGATGTTGTCGTTTCAATCGCCATCAAAACAGTGGAAACCCTTGGTTTCATCAGGAACAACCCTATCACCACCACTGATAACAACGACACCGCCGGCGGCGATGGAGACGCCGGCGGAGCTGAATCTCCTCCTCCTCCAAACAACACCGGTAGTCCCTGATCCATCACGGATTCTGTTCTTTTTCCCTTTGTTGTATATCGAGTTGTAGCGTACTTGTGTAAAACTAAAACCTGTGTATGAATCGTGAGGAATAACTGGGAAATTGGATGTGTTTTTCTGTAATTCTAGAAGTTTTTGAGTCAGGATATTTAGTAAGATTCGATTATGTATGTTTGTCCTATGTTTCTGGAAATTAATATATTGATATATGATATATCCATGAAATCGTTTAGATTTATTTCATTTTTTTTTTTGTTTTCTTTTTTTAAGCCGCCAACAAAGATCTCATCTTAATTATTTTAAGTTGGACCAAAAATTTTCTATCTTTTTCTATGTGCGTCATATGTTGTACTGTACAAGTGAGTGACGTAACACATAAAGATAAACCATGGTCAAATAACTTTCTCACAGGTCATCAAACTTTACATGTAAAATGCATAACCTTTTCATGGTGTATTATTATGATATCAAGTCTCAACATTAATTTGTGCTCATAAGTTCAATTCGTGTTAACATGGTTATTTAGAAATGAACAAAAAAATACCATTTTTTTGGTTAGCTACTAACTAATGATTGGAAATCGTAATGGTTTGCTTAGTATGGTATTTGATTTTATCTTAATATGGATGAGAATATAATGAAAATAAGGATTATTGTATTTTCTAGTTCTTAGTAAAGAAAAAAGAAAATCAATCACCTTTTTAGATTGGTAGCATGTGGTGAAATGGGGCCCGCGTTGTGATCTTACATTCATACTCCTTTTCTTCTTAGAAAAGGAATTTATCAAAATAAAGATATCCAATCTTGGAGAGTCAAGGGGTATTTTGGGAATATTGTCAATCCAATAATTATAGTTTTGTGCTGTGAATATCGGTAAACTCAAAGTATGAAAGTAATCAAGTAAGTAAAAAGTTATTAGAACAAATATTCCTAGGTAAATGATGCATATCTAATTATCACCCATTTTTTTTGTTTTACCTCTAATTATCCAATTCTGGGTTTTTAAACTACACTAATCATTTGAATATGCCTAGTTTCATGTATTGCATAACCGCATTTGTCGTAGGAAAATTTGATTTAATTAGGCTACTTGGTGTGGCTTCGGGAACGGATTCGGTATTCTCGGCGAATATCATGCCGAGGTCTCGGCATGTCGAGCTCGGCTCGGTAATTCGGCAGAGAGTTACCGATGAGAGAGCATACCCAATTTTTTTTTTTCTTTTTTGTTATTTTTACCATTTATTATTCAAATTCCATTTTCAAAAAATTCTATCTTTCCCAAAACATTATCCAATTTAAAGAATATAAACGTTTTTTTTTAATTTAAATTTTAAACCTTCAATCTTCAACTATAAATACCCTCATCTTTATTCACTTTCACCTCATTTAAATATTCTTAATTCTATTCTCTTGACTTTCTTATTTTTTTAGTCTTTTTCTACATTTCATCACTAAAAATGACTATTGTTTGGTCTACTGAAGAAAAAATCATACTCGCTCTGTTTATTGATTGATGTACCAGAAGATCCTACCTATAATGACAGCCATTCGACTACTTTTTGGAGGAGAGTCATCGACATATGCAACTGCCAATCCTTAAACCTCGAAGAAAAGATATACTCTACACAAAATTTAGAAACGCACATGCACTCGCAACTCAGTTTACCATTATGTTTCGTAGGGTGGTGCATGAAGCCAAACATGGTGAAAACAAAAATAGTTTAATAAAGAATGCTCTTGAGGCTTACCGTATCGAAATTGTCAAAGATTTTAGTCTTGTTGAATTTTAGCAAATTATGAGGCAGTGTCCCAAATAACGTCAATTTGAAGTCCTTCTCTTCTAATTTCTAGTGAGTTGTTTGTTTGAATTTGTAGTGTGATGTTTCTGAATTTCTAATGGTCTTCTGATGTTTTTAATTTCTATGATTTTTTTTTTAATTTCTATGTTTTTTTAAAGGAATATTAAGTTTTTAAAAAAATACATGTGTTTGAAATATTTATTTTCTAAATTAATAATAAAAAAAAATATTTAGTGTGGCAAGTGTGACAATCCACACCATGCAAATGATAAGTTTTGGCTAAAGTGTGACAAAAATAACGTAATGTCTATATGAACCGTAACAAATATGACACCACACCTACTAGCTTTACAAAAAACAAAAGGTCACGACGGAGCTTTTTGTTGTATGGCAACATCCTCTCATTAAACTTCTTTTTCGAAATGTGGATTTTAAAAGTCACAATTTTGGGATATGAAATCAATATTAATAGTAGTTTTTTACTAGCTTTCATTTAAAAAATTAATAAAATATATACATATATATATATAAAATAGCATTTTGGATATCGGATATCCTAAATACCTAAAACTTTATAAAATCGTGATCTGAATCCGAAAAAAAAATCCAAAATTTCAAATTTTACTTTAAGTAGCGGTTAATAAAGAAAAACTTTCATGATTTTACAAATTGACTTAATTATCTTTTTTAAAATTCAATGACGTGTTTTAGATGTTATTTTATGTAATTTTATATGTTAAAAAAAAATAATTATTTTTACCGAACACTCGTATACAAATAAATGTTATTGTTTCCAAACTATGTACTGTCAACTACCAACTATCAACTAGTTTTGTTGACCTCGTCAATATCATATTATTATAGGTATTTGTGGTTCAAAATTTTGTATTTGAAATACTTTTAAATAAAGAATTGAACGATTATAAGTGTAGTTCCATTTTGTAGATTTGATTCACCCCGAAATTTTAACAAAAACTTGTTTGATTTTTTCAAACAACCAAAATTAAAAAATATTGAAAATACCTACCCGGCGGAGGTGGGTCTTCTCCGCCTCCAAACAACAACAACAATAGTCCATAATCAACTACTAATTTATCACGATTTCTCTTCCTTTTTCCCTCTGTTGTATTTGGACTTGTAACTTGGGTGTGTTGTTCACTTGTTTGTGAAATTCAGGAAGTTTTATTATATCATGAATTAGGATTAGGATATTCAATCACCTTTTGTCATTATTTCTGGAAATTAATATATTGAAAAGCAAGAATTCGTGTAAATTTCTTGGATTTTCTTTTTTCTTCTTTATATAGCCGCCAACATAGATGGTCCAAAGTTATGCTTATTTGTTCTCTCTGCATCATAGTGTACAAGCAAGTGATGTACCACATAAAGATAAACCATGGTCAAATGACTTTCGCTGTCATTAAACTTTACTTGTAAATTGCATAATCTTTTCATGGTGTATTATTAATTTATTATTATGGTATCAACATTTGTGTTAATATGTTCAATTCGTGAATTACTATTGTATCAACATGTTGTGTTCATAAATTATATTCGTTAATTATTATGACTTTCGTATGATAGGTTATTTGGATTATTTACATTTTTTTCAAGGACAAAAAAAATGAAACGGCTAAATTGATATCTTTTTACTAGAAATACACCTATAAGGAGTGAGTCATAATGTTTCTACTTTGTAAGGTCAAACCTTATGATCTGATGAGTCAAGAACTAACACATGCTCACCATTAGCACCATCATCCAAACCTTCAGAACCAACGTCAGTGCAAACTTTAGAACTCTAGCATCAGCGTGTAATCTTTTGTATATTTTGTTATATGTAATTATAGTATTATATTTTTTTTCTAGATAACTAATCTGATATCTTGGTGATAATAATCAGTTACATATTTAGATCATATTAGAATCAACCCCCGTTTAAAGGGATTATCTAACTTAGATTAGTATATAATCATGTTTAGGGTTAAACCCTAATGATTGCTTTGTGCATTGTTTTGTGCTGCTTTGTGCATCCGTTCCCTTGGTGAGAACTTTTCTTAATGAAAAACCATTTTTGTGATAATCCTTTGTTCTTCATTATAACTTTTTTATATCTAATCTATGAATCAACAAGTGGTACCAGAGCAGGTTTTCTAATACATTCAAGTTATCAACTCTTTTGTTGTCAAGGATCAAAAACGAAAAAGTTGTCAATGGCTCGCATCGATGATCTCCATACTAAAGAGGTATTTCTGAAATAAACCTCAGGATTCGAAAGTGAGGAGTTTCCAGATCATGTGTATCGCCTAGATAAAGCAGTTTACAATCAGAAACAAGCTCCTATGACATGGTATGATACACTGGTTAATTATCTTCTGAAGAATGGTTACAAGCGTGGGGCTACCGATAATCAAGTAGTAAGGGTCTCACATCATTCTTGCTCAAGTATATATATTGATGGCGTGATCTTTGGACTTACTGATGATACACTGAGTACTGAGTTTGTTGATGTAATGGCAAAAAAATTGGAAATAAGCATGATGGGCGAACTAACATTTTCCTTAGGTTTGTAGGATAAGAAGATTGTTGATGGGATGTTTATTTTTAAGCTAAGTATATCATTGACCTACTGAAGAGGTTTGACTTCTCTGATTGCAAACCAGCAAAGACCCCAATGTCGCCATCTATATCCATCTTCACTGATCCCACTGGCCTTGATGTTAATGCAACTATGTATAGAGGAATGATTGGCTATCTACTCTATCTCACTGCCAGTCATCCTAATATTATGTTTGCAACCATTTTATATGCTCGATATCAAGTTAATCCTAAAGAATCTCACCTTCACGTTGTTAAGAGAATCTTCCGGTATCTCAAGCATACACCAACTCTTGCGTTATGGTACCCATGTAACTCAGAGTTCAAACTTGTTGGTTACACTGACTCTGATCATAGTGGATGTGGTATCAATCAAAAAAGTTCTCCAGGAGGATCTCAACTGTTGGGAAATAGACTTGTGAGTTGGTCCAACAAAATTCAAGTTTTAGTGGCTTGTTCTACTACTGAAGCTGAATATATGGTTGCTGGAAGGTGTTGTGCTTAGATTCTTTGGATTCAAAATCAACTTTTGGACTAGGGTTTCAACTTTTCCAAGACTCCTATTTGCTGTGACAACACCAGTGCAATCTCGATGATTCAGAATCTGATGCAACGTTCTAAGACCAAGCACATTGATATTCATCATCACTTCATCAGAGACATCGTTCAAAAGGGCACAGTGGAGTTGTTCTATATTCCAACTTCTGATCAACTTGCAAACATCTTTACTAAGGAAATGGATGAGAAGACCCTGAACAAGTTGATTGTTGATCTCGACATGGTTACAATGATTTAAATTCTTCTCCATTGCATTTTCTTTTCTCCAAAAATATAAACAATTTGCTTCTGTTTACATTACTTGCTTTTTATCATCTTAAAATTCATAAAACCACAAAAATAAGCTTTTGTCTTTTTATTACTTTCGAACATAAAAAATTTACAAAAATAAAGTTTTTTTTTGTTTCCAAAGGAGTATACATTATATGCTTTCATGATTCTAATGTCTATCCGTCATGTCATCTGCTTCTTGAGCACTCATTTCAGGATGAATCATCTTTAAAATTCAGAGCTGCTTCTCTAACATTTTTCATCAATGATTGTAATCTCCATATTGAAAGAGATCTTTTTTCCTCTAACACAGAGCATATCATTGAACACACTAGAAAAAGAAATATATATGTCTTGATATCAAGATATCTTTTTCTCTTGGTGCTTCCTCAACCACCTTTATCTGATGCAACGGGGGATGTGAAGGAAAAGTTGGCATCGATCCTTCTTCTTGTTGACACCACCTCCTTCTTCCTTTATTCCCTATCATGGATGCAACCAGTCGTTGCTAATACAATAATTCTTACTTTCATTTGATGACCATAATCTATTAAAACCTCAAGTTCCTACTTGTTGATTTTAGTAACTCGAATGTTACAAAGATTTGAGACAATTAACTCGTTGGTTACAAAGACCGTCTCTTGCTCCTCTTCTGTTCTTGGTGAACATGGAGCTTGGAATCCATCTGCAATACCTCAACGATTAATGACATTTCTACCATCTTATGTTTATATTTTTTTTGCTATGTTTGATCTTACCTATGTACCCTTTTGTAGATACATGTTCAGGAGCAAATATGTCGTAAGAAGATAAATCATTAATGGCCTTTCAATTCAAAGGATCCGTAAAATTTGGTCTTTCTGATTCTCATGAAAAAGTTGCACATTTACCTCTTGAATTATTCTTCTTTGACTATTTTGCTTATTCTTATCTATTTTCCTATTCTGTCTTGTACCATTTTTCTTTAATTAATGGCGATTTTAATTCTATCCTACAACTTTACTCTATGATACAAGGACTAAACCATCTCTTGCTGATGAGTCACTCACTGTCAATAAGTCATGGTGATTTAACCTCATCGTGATTGAGACATCTTATTGCTTTCCCATAATTCTTCTTTATAGAACTTAATGACCTACTGAGCAATACCATTCACTGATAAAAAGTTCAAAATTATGTGTCCATGGTTAATCTATGTACCGTAGGTTATCATACGTACCAACCCATTCATACCTTAATTTATTCTTAAAAGGTTTATGATTCAGCGTATGATACCAGACACTAATGAGAATTTGAAAAACTATGTCGATGGGTATATCATGTACCGTGATGTATTACACACCTATCCTCTCTCACCCTAAATTCTTTTATCAAAGAAGTTAATAATTCACTGTAATAACCATACACTGATAAAACGTTGAATCTCTATGTCGATGGATACATTTAAACACCAAAATGTATTACACACATCATTCCCCTCTTGTCCCTATTCTTTTACCAAAAGAAGTTCATGATTCAGTGTATAAAAACAGACAATGATGAGACTTCGCAACACTATGTCAACA